GTAGAAAAAACAAGATATCCAATGACAAAACTAAATTTAAATAATATCTTTCCATTAGTCCAGTCCTACAGAGAATACTAGAAGGAAAGCACCAATGAAAGGACGGTAACCATACCCAAGAAAACACAAGAAATAGATAAGTCCACACCAGAAAAACCAAAAGAAGACACACACACACACACACACACACACACACACACACACACACACACACAGAGAGAGAGAGAGAGAGAACTACCACCAACATAAGAATAACAGGATAACAGGAACTAACAACCATTGGTCATGAATATCTCTCAACATTAATGGACTCAATTCACACACACACATACACACACACACACACACACACACACAGAGAGAGAGAGAGAGAGAGAGAGAGAGAGAGAGAGAGAGAGAGAGAGAGAGAGAGAGAGAACTACCACCAACATAAGAATAACAGGAACTAACAACCATTGGTCATGAATATCTCTCAACATTAATGGACTCAATTCCCCAATAAAAAGACAGGCTAACAGAGTGGATGCGTAAACAGGATCCATCATTCTGCTGCATACCAGAAACACACTTCAGCAACAAAGCTAGACATTTCCTCAGAGTAAGGGGCTGAAAAAAGGTTTTCCAAGCAATTGAACCCAAGAAACAAGCTGGAGTAGTCATTCTATTATCTAATAAAATAGACTTTCAGCTAAAATTAATCAAAAGCGATTCAGAAGGACACTCATAACTCATCAAAGGAAAAATCCACCAAGATGAGCATCTATGCCCCAAATGCAAGGGCACCCACATTCATAAAAGAAACATTACTAAAGCTTAAATCAGACATTAATAATGGGAGACTTCAACACCCTACTCTCATCAAATGACAAGTCACTGAAACAGAAACTAGAGAAATCTCATAGTAACAACTTAACAGCACACCTAAAAACTCTGGAACAAAAAGAAGGAAACATACCCAAGAGTAGACGGCAGAAAATAACCAAACTCAGAGCTGGAATCAATAAATTAGAAACAAAGAAAACAATTCAAAAAATTAATGAAAATGAGAGTTAGCTCTTTGAAAAAATTAACAAGATAGACAAACTCTTAGCCAAAGTAACTAAAAGTCACACAGAAAGTATCCAAACAAACAAGATCAGAAATGAAAAAAGGGATTCGACAACAGACACTGAGGAAATTCAAAAAATCATTATGTCTTATTTCAAAACCCTGTACTCCACAAAATTGGAAAATCTAAATGAAATAGATGATTTTTCTAGACAGATATCACTTACAAAAGTTAAATTAAGATAAGATAAAGTATCTAAATAGTCTCTAAGAAAATAGAAACAGTCATTCAAAGTCTCCTCCCAAAAACTCAGGGCCAGATGGTTTTAGCACAGAATTCTACCAGACTTTCAAAGAAGAGTTAACACTAATACTTCTCAAACTATCCTACAAAATAAAAACAGAAGGACCATTTGCAAACTCATCCTCTGAGGCCACAATAACCCTGATATCTAAACTACACAAAAACTCAACAAAGAGAGAGAATTTCAGACCAGTTTCCCTTATGAACATTGATGCAAAAATAATAAAACACTCACAAACTGAAACCAAGAACCCATCAAGACATCATCCACTATGATCAAGTAGGCTTCACCCCAGGGATATAGGGGTGGTTCAATATATGAAAATCTGTCATTGTAATCCAACACATAAACAAACTGAAAAGACAAGTTGAGCAAGCCAGGGGCTCAGGCTGTAAGAGCCTGCCTCCATGGCCTGTGCCTCAGGCCCTACTGGAGTTCCTGACCTGACTTCTCTCCATGATGGATTATCACAATACTGAAATGTAAGCCAGAGGAACCCTCTTCTCCCCAAATTTCTTGTGACAGCAATAGAAATCAGACCTGGACAGTAGCTTTAAATCAACATGTTTACACATGGCAAACCCTGCAAATTAGACCTTTTTTTTTTTTTTAAAGTGGATCTAGAAACCTAGCCCTAACATATGCCAGACAAGAGCTCTATTGCTTAGCTACATCCTCAGCCCAGATGAGGTCTTTTTTTTTTTTTCAGTTTGGAGAGCTGAGCTGGCATATTAATCTAGCACTAGACATGGGGGATGTAAGAGGCTCAACTCAAACTTCAAGAGATGGAAACCACAGGGTTAGTGGAGAAAAGATTACTGTGCAAAGAAAGGGCCAAAGCACTTGAAGACACAACAGTGGGGAGTATCCAAAAGTAATAAGAGAAAGAGACTGGGAAAAACCAAGCTTTAATAAGCTGTGGGACAAACACAGGGGACCCAATTCATAAGTCCCTAAAGGTAGCAGACAGAGCAAAGGGGATATACATTTGAATGAATATAAAATTCTAAATTTTGTAAAAACCCAAAGGTTCAACTATCTCAAAAAAATTCCCAAGTCCAAGAAAAACAAAACTATACCACGGCAAATCAAAATAGAATCCTTCAAAATAAACTACCCAGTAAAAACAAGCAAGCAAACAAACAAACAAACGAACAAACAAACCTCAATAGCATCCGAAGGAAATGGTACAGATATTTACTATATAATATGATTATAGCAATTAGAGAAAACTCTTTAGAAACATAAAGACACAACCCAGAAGGCAGCACAGCAACATTTTTTAGAGCATTAGAAATAAAAACAACAAAAAACCCAAACCTGTTAGGTTAGACTTGTACACTCAGAGTATCTTGGAGTGAAGATAAAATACAGGCTTTCTCAGAGTCTTGGAAGCCGAATGGATTTCTCATTTGCTGACATGTACCATATAAATTGTTAAAAGGAGCCTCCAGGCAGAAATACAGTTGTATCAGACGGAAGTTTGGATGTGGAATTTGATGTACCAAAGCCCCTGGCAACCACTAATCTATTTTTGATATCTGTGGTCTGTGGGTTTGTCTGCTCTGGACATTACCTACGTGAAGCTATACAATTCGGTCGTAATTCTTTCTCCATAGTTGGATCCAAGACTCCCAGCACTTGTCTGAAATTACACATAACATGGAGTCCTAGATACACTGTTCTGTCTCATATGTCCACATCTATGATAAAACTTAATTTGTAACTTAGCCTCATTAAGAAGACAACAGTATCTAATGATGAACAAGAGAAATGTAGCAGCATGTTATAATTAGCTACTTAAACCTTATGAGTTGTTTACTTCTGCAGTTTTTTATTTTCTACACTGGGACCCCAGTTGGCCTCAGAGGACTAAACTGCTAGAATGAGGTCACAGATACCACAGGACAGTATGCATGGCTTTTGTGTCTGTCATTTTCCATTTATAAGGTTCTCAAGGTTCAGTGTGCTGTAACTGGACCAGCATTTAATTCCTTTCTGAGGGAGGATAGTGTCCCACTAGAGTGGAGTAACCTTCTACATTCATGTACTCATTAGCTGACAAACATTGATGTGTGAATAACTCTGAACATTCATGTACAAACATCCATGTACATGTACTTACTGGATTATAGTTTACCTCTCTCTCTCTCTCTCTCTCTCTCTCTCTCTCTCTCTCTCTCTCTCCCTCTTTTAAGATAGGGTTTCTTTATGTAGTCCTGACTATTCTGAAACTCACTATGTAGACCAGACTGGCCTCAAACTCACAGAGATCCTCCTGCTTCTGCTTCCCAGTTCTGGGATTAAAGGCGTGCATCCCAGTGCCTGGCAATTTTGCACTTTTCTAAAATGAGCTTCTTCTGGATTCTTATGTTTATTCAAGCTAAATTCGGTGTCTTAAGATTTGTCTCATTCAGAAGCTTTAAAATGTTTATGGCTGGGTGGATAGATGGCACAGCAGGTAAAGCATTTGCATTAAGGACTGTAGTTCTGATTCCCCATCACCCACTTCAAAGCCAGGTAGCTGTGGTGGGTTACCTATAATCCTAGTGTGGGATAAAGCAGAGACAAAGACTCCCTGGAGGGCCAGACTAGCCCAAACAGAGAAGCTTTGGGGTTAGACCTTGCCTTTTTTTTGTTTGTTTTTGTTTTTGTTTTGTTTTGTTTTTTTTTGTTTTTCGAGACAGGGTTTCTCTGTGTAGCCCTGGCTGTCCTGGAACTCACTCTGTAGACCAGGCTGCCTCGAACTCAGAAATCCGCCTGCCTTTGCCTCCCAAGTGCTGGGATTAAAGGCGTGCGCCACCACCGCCCAGCTTGAGACCTCGCCTTAATAAATGATGAGGAGAGTGATTGAGGAAGGTAGTTAATATCAACCTCAGGCCTCATGTGTGAATACATACAGACAACCAGTGTATACGCAAACATAAGGTCAAAGGGAAGGTACGAACATTTGAGACAGTGGGCATCAGAAGGTTGGCTTTAATTGCCAACTTGTCACAACCTACAGTCACCTGAGAAGAGAGTCTCAATGGTTGCCTACATAAAATATGAATTAATCGATATAGCAAAACCCAGCTATGTAGTGCTGACCCACTATAACAGTGCCACCGTGGGTGGTACTATTCCCTTGGCAGGGAATCTTGGACTGTGTAAGTGTAGAGAGAGGGCTGAGTACAAGTAAGTCTGAATGCATGGATTTCTCTCTGCCTTTGATGATGTATGTGAAGTGACTAGCTGTTCTAACTCCCTGGTGTCTTGACATCCCTGCTAGGATGGACTATAACCCGGAACTATGAACTAAAGAAAACCCTTCGTCCTATAAGTTGCTTTTATCATATAGGGTTTTTTTTGTTTTGTTTGTTTTTGTTTTGTTTTTCTTTGTTTTGTTTTTGTTTTTATCATAGCAGCAGACATGGAACCAGGACAGGGCAATACCAGGATGCTCCTGTTATATCCTTTGCCACTGAAAAGTCAGAAGGCAGAGTAGGAAACTTAAAAGGTGTTAGCTGGGGTTGCCTCAGACCCATGCCAGTTACAATGGTCTTCTTTCTCTTTCCCCCTATCGTGCTCTATCTCTTCTGTGCTTTCTATGCAAGGACATCATCTCCATGCGCTACACTAAATTACACCCCGTGTTTCCTTCCCCAGGCATTTCTAAAATGTACACGGATATTATAAGAGGAGAGTCGCTGATCATTTGTAGCTTCACATGCATTTTCTTTGGAATTTTTCGAGGCCACACAACTAACTTTTCCATGTTCAGGGGTAAGATCGTTGTGTTCTGTCTGTATACTTCCTAAGATTATTATTGAAACGAAAGTGTATTCGTCTCTGTATCTTTCTCTATACACTGCTCTTGAACCAATTAAAATGAGAAGTGAGGTAACAAGAAAGTATAATTGCCATATTTGCATTTTATGGATCACTAAAATACAAAGTGTGTGTTGGATTGATCTGTAATAGACAAGCCAGGGTAGATGGGGGGGGGGGCTGGGAAGTGGAAAGGGGAGGAGGAAATTATATAATTTTAACAATCTCAAAAAAATATAAAAGGAATAACTGAAAAGACCCATCTCCTGTCCCTCAGCGTGCACACACACATACACAATTGCATCATCCGGCTCAGGTTATCCCTCCAGCTGGGATCAACATGTTGCTCAGTTGGTGGATGCTAAGAGTTGTCTTGGTCTTAGATTTGAGAGTGAAAGCAGGCAATTAATGCAGTATTGGTAAGACAATCTTAAGAGTGATAACAGCCAGATTTGTGTGGCTAATGGTCCCTGGGGTATGAAATATGTTCTCCTGACAGGTTTCTAGATGTTTCATTAATAGCTAGATAAGAAAGGGGGACATCAGAGCATAGCATGACGGGGAGACGTGAGCTCCTGGTACACGTTTGTGGTAGCTGCAAGAGGGGGTAAAGAGGGCTAAAAGTAGAAAGACACGTTGGTGGAAATTGGGTAGATAGTTTTAAAAATGGGTTATTAGCACACATTCATTATGTAATGGGCTTCATTATGCTTTTGTGTTGCATTTCAATTATATCCACTCCTGTCACTCTCTCCTGTGTCCTTCCCCAGGTCATTAATCCCCTTTCAGCTAGCCCCTTCTATTTAATGCCTTTGTCGTGTGTGACCTAAGGAGTTTCATTGGGATTGTTTATCACAGTGTGAGTGGGAGTTTGTTTACATCCCTCGAGAAATCTACATTAAATAGATTTCTTTTTCAGACTTTCACTGTACACTGCCCGCTGGAGAACAAGCTCCCTGTTTACACACCTCAAGAGCAAACCGAAGTGCAATCAGAAAAAAAAAAAAAAAAAAAAAAGCAAACAAAACAAACAAACAAATCAAAACCCAGATGGTTAACTCAAGTTTTTCTTTCTCCCGTTCTCTCCTTTCTTTTGTTTAGAGTTACACGTGATCATTGGACTCAGCTTTGATATTTTTGGAAGTACAATATGTGGATACTGGTGTACAAGAGTCATTCAGATTATATTGACCGACCTCTTTAGCAACTCACTGACGAACGTTGTTCTCTGTTTTTCACTGGTGTACATGACTTTTTACCTTGGTAAGGCAAACAAAGGCAAGAACTACCATCCTACCGGAGCACCTGGGAATCCTGGTTTTGCCCTGCTTCTTTCTCCGGACACTTCATGTCTTCCTCCTCTCTGTGGCCCCCCCTTCGTGTTTTGTCATATCACCTTTCTGTCATCTCTAGTTCTCTCCTGGCTTCTCATTGTAACCACATGTCCCTCTTCTTTGTGCTCTTATCTCTGGGTACGCTTACTCCTTTGCGCTCTATTCTTTAACCCAATAGTACGTCCCTGGCAGTGCCCTAGAAGTGGAATCAACATGGAGTTGGTTCTGTTCGGACTCTTGAGCAGCTCACCCGGAAAATGGGAAAAGTTGGCGGGGAAGTTCTTGAGAGCTTTCCAAGCTCGTCAGCTTCACTCACTAAACTAAAAAGGCCTTTCAAATGGCAGTCTTTTTGTGAATCTAGAAGGTGGGATACGAGAATGGGGAGATCAAGGGTGCTTGTGTGTCTGGAAGAGAAATTTGGGTGTCGGTAATTGCTGGAGTAACAGTACCCAGCCCCGGGGTGGGGGGGCTTCCGTTAGTTCAGTCTTGTAAAATTGGGACTTGAGGCAGTACAGTTCCCAGGAGTCATATTAATTATGACCAAACTGCTTTTACTCCGATCTCACACAGTAGGGGAACTTCAACCAATGAAGATCTCAGTTCTCTTACACCGCTAGTTACCGGAAGGCCCTGTGTTTTCCTATAGACACACCGCCACCTAGCGTTTGCTTACTGCCCTGAGCCAGTTAAACTAGAGAAAACATTCCCCGGAGTGCTCATTTCCTTAAACTTTATTTCTTTTCTCCTTTGTGAAAGTTTTGTGGATGCCTTGCTGCAGCCTTTCCACCTCTCTACCAGATTGTGAGGCCCTGGAGTGAGAGTGGGGCTCATAGACAGCTCTTTACTCGATCAGTTTTTCTTCTTTTCAGCCAAGCTTGGAGTTGGTCAAATGCCTGACAATAAATTGATATATGATGATCGAATGAACCAACATTCCTTCTCAAAGTGTTTTTGAGTGGGCAGAATCCAGATAGACTCCATCAATCAACAACGTTTGGGAACTACTTAGCTTCTCTAAGCTTGTCTCTTCTATACAAATGGTCTAATAATACCCCATTTGTGTAAGGCACTGCAAGCATTAATGAAGTGTGCTAAGCTTGTGAGCTGCAGGTACCCTAGGGGCTGGCAAGAGCTCCTTACATACACAGCTCCTCCCACCTCCTTCTGAGTGACGGTTGTTCCTGGAGGAGGGGCGTGTCTTTATGCCATATATATCGAGACTTCCTCCCCAATACTTGTCACTTGTTCCTGAGCCTTTGCCAGCTCATCACTGGGTTCAAGACAGGGTGGTTCATAAATGTTGGTTCATTTCTTCTTTCCTCTAGGAATGGAGGTGTTTGCAGGCAATGCTTGGTGCCTCTTTAGACAGATTAAATGGATGAGCGCCGAGGGCAGAGAGGCAAGGGCGGGCAGCAGGAGTGTCTTAGCCTCCTTTTCACATCAGAAGATTCCCAGCCCAGGCACACAAGGATGGGGTTGTCACATAATTAACAATACAAATTCCTTATTTTCATCTATTAATATAACCAAAATGTTTCATCAGTTTGGCTCAAGTCATTGAAACACAAGCATCTGATAAAAATGTGTTTAAAACCCAGCAAGAATATATATATATCTCAAGATTATATATGTATCAGACAAAAATAAGAACTAGCATGTACTCATTATAAAAAGAAACTGGAACTAAGAGTTTGACGATTGTCCTTATCAAAACATTTGCAGAACTATTAGCTTTACTCGACTTGATTGTTGTTTAACTTAAATTGGTTAGGTAAGTAGATATAAAAAAAAAGTCCAAAGTGAAGTTAAGTGAATACACAAATGAAAAGAATTATTAAATCTTTCCTGAATATTAACAAGGATTGCTAAGCAGTAGAGCAGTGGCTTAAAATCAATACTGTAGTCACAACGGTGGCCGTCCATTGCCATGCAAATATTCCAAGTAATACATCATCTAATTTAATGTTTGCAATAAGTTTGTGAGGTGCTATCCACCTCATTTAACGCCTGCTTTGCAGATGGGGGGACATTAATGGAGAACGGGAGGTCACTTTCCATAGGCAGCTTGCTGTGCCGTTTTAAAGCTCGTCCACTGCTTGCTTGGATGTTCTTTCTCTTCCTTTCTGCTACTGTCACCCTGGGCTCTTTGGAGACTCTGCAGCCCGGCACCTTTTTGTGTTCGAACATTCTCCCTAGACTGTTTCAACATTTAGAGCCCAGAGAATTGCCACTTTAATCAGGGAGGGAAGGGCAAAAGCTCCAGGAAGCAGTGAGTTCGAAGGGTCAGCAACTCCTGGCCCATGCAGCACAATGTCCCAGAGGTGATGAGCAGAGATTGCATAATTCCTTTTCCCACTTGCCCTAGCCTCAGAGATGATGTAGGATTGGCAAACTGGGTCAAATCTGCTCTTAGCTAAAAACAGCCTTATGAAAAGAGCAGAAGGAAAGAATCACATCTCGGGGAGATGAAGATGATATGAAGTCTAAAGTCCATAGTATGGTATTGGCCAACCATTTACATGTTATCTCTGGCTTCTTGCAGAGTCATAGCCGAGAGGAGTCGCTGTGAAAGTTCCCGTGGCTCACAGAGGCTAGATATTTACTACATTGCCCATTTCAGAAGAAGCATTGCTATTTCCTGAGCTACAGTGTTGGGCTAATCCCTTGAAGTAACTTTCTAAATAAGAGGCACTACTTTCAACTTTCCTACTGATTCTTTCCTCAGAACACATCCGTGTGCAGATTTAATTACATTTAGATTTAATTCACTTTCTTCTCTCCCCAGTGGAATATTTCGGAATGTCGGGCATTGTTGCCTTGGTCACCGTCGGCCTGAATTTGGATTCTTTAAGCTTTAAGCCAAGGATGGAATTCATAATTACTAAGTGAGTTTACTGATGTGTACTCAGTATGGATGTCAGAGGATTTCAGTCCTAGGCCAGACTTGTCTTTGAGGAGGCTAATGCAACTCTATTTATTTACATATTTCTATTTTCAAAGTTTCAATGTGCCATCAGTGGTCAGCATTATTGATATTGTCATTCTGAGGAGAGCATCAGAGGTTCAGAGACCATAATGCCTTCTCTATGTCATTCCAATAGACTTATGCTATGAATTGTTGGGTTTTTTCCCTTCACGTCCACGCTTGGATGACATCATCGTAATGTGTGAAGGAAGGAGGAAGGAAGGAGCTCAGAGTGAGATGCATCACCAGCAAGATTCTTATCTACCCTTGCCACTGGTGTTAAAAAGATGTCGTGTGGATGGGGGTCGGGTGGGGGTAAGGGTAGGGTGTAGGTATTGGGGTGTGTGTGTTGGGGGTGGATCAGTGTCTTCTCAGACAAATGAATTAGGCCTCCTCTCAGAAACCATGTAAAATCACAGACACTAAGTTGAAATCTGCCAAAGAAATTCTCATCTCCAATGAAAGCAAATGAAAGCAAATAAGCCTTCACTCTGACTTTTCCCATGAAAATTTGTTCAGTGTAAAGGCTGTTCTGAAATACTGTCCTTCCTATAGTGTTTTAAGTGTTTAAATTATTCTGTAAAAAAATAAATACCTGTGATAGAGAACGGCACTATTTTTTTTTTTTTTGGTTTTGCAAAATGAAACAAAATTGGCACCCATAACTTTTGTTCCTTTGATGTGTTTGCGGATGAAGCTTGGGACTAATCGGTTCGTAAGGCCTTCGGATTCGTGTAGCCACTGCACTTGGCTCTTGGTGGCACTGCCCTTCAGTAATTACTCTTACCTTCTGTAATAACCCACTCCACTTGTTTGGTCTTTCACCTAAGCCACCATCTTTTCCTGTCTGCTGTGGCCTGACTGTTGAATTTGAAGCCGGAGGGGATGAGAGTAAGAGATTTCCAAAACAAAAGCAAAACCAAAACATAGCAACAACAACAAAATCCAAAAGCATGCTATTGTTAAATGTTATACCTGCTTATTTAAAAAAAACACTAAGTATTCTAAACTTATGTATTTTTTTGGATCTTACTATTTGCAAGGGGATTGTTAGACCCTGTGGAGATATTTCTTAAAAGCCTTCAACTCCTCAGTTATTCTATGACAGCTGAGAGGGACAGTTGGGACCTCAGGGCTTCCATTCCTATCTTTCTCCTCTGGAGCTCTGAGTGGCTTGAATCTGGAAATAGAAGTCACTTGGAGAGTGTGTGTGCTGATTATATCAGATAATGCTTTAATCACAGCTAAAACGGGGCTTCGTAATGCTTCTTCCCTAGTGTAGATTTTGTGAGCCATTTCTGAGGAGACAGGCTTTGGAGCAGAACAGCTTACTTCTCTCAGTCCCGTGAGAGGGAGTCAAGAGGAGGCAGGACTTGAAATCTGCCTATAGATGAAGGATCTGGCTCCAACTTGTGCAGGAAAAATCTATTGCTTTCCCTTGCTTTACTGTGCTGGGGCAGCATTTTAGGGACGCAAAAGAGGTCGTGTCTAACCAGAGTACACCGGATGGAGAACACAGGAAAAGAACTGGATTTCCAAGACTTGTAGGCATTCAGCAGATTGGAAAGCAAACATGAGAGACTTTCCAAAGTAAGGGGTAGAGCATGTGCAAGTCCCAGCAGCAGAAGTGGCAGTGAAGCATTGGGTCGTTATCAGCCGTCAGCTGAAGGTACCCGGGTGCCTCTTTGCAGACCACCCTTGCTCTGGGATTTGTGGTGGCAGCTTCAGTACTAGATAAACTGCTGGCTAATCCCAGAGAAACTGGTACATCATCAGCTTGGGGAGAGCTTTATTTCTCTGCTTTTCTCCTTCTGTTGTGTTGTGAGAGGCATCCCACGGGGTTGGGTATAATGAAGGTAATGACCTGAGTATCTAAGCCTGACAACATCCCTTTTGACTGTAACTATTATGGAGGCCACAGCTTCCACTGTGGTAGCAGTGATAGGTGTAAAATGGGCACTTTTATGTGACAAAGAATATATCTTAAACGTGCATTGATGAAAATGTCTTCTCCTTTTCATCCCTCCTAGGTTCTTAATAATGTGTTCCTCTGTATACGAACACTTAATATATGCTTTCTTCGGCATTGTTATTGGCTGTGGAGAAATCCAGTATTTCAGATTTCACTCCCTAGTTTTCATTGTGACTTTATTCGTAACAGTGAATTTTGTAAGGTAACGATTACATTTTAAAGTTTCTTTTTCTGAGCTTAGGTTATTTTTTTGTGGATATGTGCATGTATATATTCAGTCCCCCAACTCTGTGTGTGTGTTTGTGCATGTTTGATTTTATTTTGCTGAAGACTCATTTGTCTGAGATCATCTGAAACACAATATACATATTCTGCTGGTAAAGACCCCCTGAAGGTAGATTCTGAGGGGCTCGAGACACGGCCTGGAGGTGCAAAGCATTGGATGCTCTTTCAGAGGTCCTGGATTGATTTCCTAGCACCTATAAGGCAGCTCATAACAGACTGTAACTGCAGTTCCAGGGGATCTAACACCTTCCGGCTTCTGAAGTCAATAGAAATGCATGTAATACATAGACATACATGCAGGTAAGGCATCCATACACATAATAAAATAATGGGAAAAAAAGGTCAGATTCTGAGTTTTGTCATAAGATCCTGTTGAAAAGTGACCTTAAAATAAGCAGAAATACATTGAAGTAAGTATAGATTATTTTTCTGGATCTCTCTCTCTCTCTCTCTCTCTCTCTCTCTCTCTCTCTCTCTGTGCCTGTATGTAGTACATGTATGTAGGTATGTAATGTATGTATGTATGTATGTATGTATATTTTATATGTGTGGGGGTGCATGGGTATGGGGGTGTGTGTGCATGCACACACACACACACGTGTGTGGGAAGGGTGAGGTTGATTTTGAGACTCATCTCTGACTGCCTTTCCACCTTGCACACTGAAGTAGAGTCTCTGAATGAAGACCCGGGCTCACTGATACAGCTGTTCCCAAAGCCTGCCCTGGGAATTTCCTGTTTCTGCCTCCCGAAGCTGGAATTATCGGCGGCCAACCACACCCACCAGACGTTTACTTGATTTTTGGGGGGTCTGAACTCCAGCCCTCATAGTTACTTGGCAAGAAATTCCACCACTGAAACATCCCCCCAGACCTAGTGTGTGATTCTTGTAGGAGCTAAAGAAAAGGCTTTTTTTTGGTTAAGTTTGTTAACATGTTTATAATAATTTTTTTTTCCAGTTTGATCAGCCCCTCTTCCAATTCCAGTTTCTCAGTCATTTTATTGTTTGGCATAGATAGATAAACTTGTTAATATGCTTTGAAGAAATGTCCATACAGGAACTTACTCCCTAACTGTAAATTATACACCACAATGCTATCGATAAATCCTTTTACGTGTGTAGAACCTCTCCCACTGTACATATACTACAGTAGACATAAAGTTGAGGTTAGCCCCAGTGGCTTATTGACAACTATACTCTTTCCTCATTCCTGGAGACTTTTAAGTGACATTTAGTGCTGAGTGCATGATTTTAACCTCGGATGATGTTCCCATGTGAAGCGCGTTTATTTGTTTGTACTGTTTCCTGCCCACAGGCTGCTTACCATCATTTTAGTGAGCCCTATTTTGATGCATTCAAGTTATGAGTATGACTGGCGTTGGGGAGTCGTCATTGCGTGGTCTGGGATCAGAGGTGTCTTCAGCTTACTCTTAGCTCCCGATATTTACAATTTTTCGGAATTTAAGTTACCGGCGCCACATATGGTAGGGAAAATAATCATGCATTATGGATTATTTTTATTTACTCATTATTACTTATTTTGTAGCGTAAGTTAACCAACTTTGAGTTGGATTTCTTAAAAATGCACTCTTTTCATTGCAAAAGGACTTTGACAGAAAAATGTTTATGTTGACAGTGACAAGGGGCCAGTGTTCACATAGCAATTATTATTAGGGTTATTGGAGCCTTGATTTTCAACTCCGACTCCACCATTCACTGAGACTCAGCTTCTAATTGAGGATTGAGACAATGCCCCGTAAAACAGCTGACGGCTAATAAATACTCTGTGAGTTTTACTGAGCACACAAATGTCATTTTTTCCCAATAGCTATCAGAAAGTGTGACAATAAAATGCCCTCATTTAGAACATTCAAATCTCTGTGTAGCTGTGAGCACAAAAGCTGAAGTGCTAGTTAAGTGTCCCAAGGAGAGAGAGAGTCTATTAATTGTTATATAAAGGATATCCTTTAGCCTTCTGACTCATTTAAAAATGTTTGACTGTAGCCAGATATAGTGACACACATTTTTGATCCCAGCACTTGGGAATCAGAGACAGGGAGATCTCTGTGAGTTTGGGGCTAGCCTGGTTTACATAGCAAGTTCCATGACAGCCATAGCTTTGTAGAGAAACTGTCTCAAAACAAAACCAAATCAAAACAAAACAAGTCTGGCTGAAGATTTTGTGATCTGCAGTGAAAAACAATACTTGGTTTCCTTCCCCCCACCCCGCCCCAAATCTTGGACAAGCTGGTGGTTCTAACAGTCTTGTGATATATAGTGCTGTAGCTATATATAGTGCTGTAGCTGACACCCTAGACACGTGCTAGCAGCCTGAGGGCACTTCACTATTTGTTCATTTGCCTCTGCAGTGCTGGGGCTCAAACCTAGGGCCT